AGTGTTTTAAGGTTTGTTAGTTTGTCAAATACATAATAAGGAAGGCTCGTGAGTTGATTGAAATCTAAGGACCTGCATCAGCAGACATACATGTGCAGAAACATTACATGGCAATCAACGGTAAAGTAAAGCTATTTTAGGTCAAATTTATACATTGGAGCTCATCGCCTGGTACTTCGTAAATCAAGGCCCTCTTCAGACTAGATACAAAACAGCCTATAATTCACATATACTTGGTCCGACTTATTAAATGTGCGCTTCGCTTCAAAACTCAAGCCTACGTCCAAAGGAGCACCTGTACTAAAAAATCGACCAAGAGACGATAGATAGATAACTACTGTGTCGTTTCTTGGCCTGACCTTCTAGTTTTCATCTCTGCTGGTGTCTCAGGGCGCTTCTTCAAGTGCGTCAACCTGCAAAATGTCGACATTTTTTCATCTCCTCCAAGCTACACTGCGCTTCCTTGATTTTTTCACTCCATATGCATGATTTAGACGATCGACTTCGCCTCCCCCTCGTGCAGTACGACTGCCAGAATGGTGGCTGTAGGTGCTTTCGCCTGACATTCCCACGGCACTTTCAAATGAGGCGAACACGTAAACCACCACGCATAAAAAAATCACTTCTCATCACCGTGTGCTGCGCGTGTAGAACTACTACTGAGTCTGATCTGTGTCGACATGTCATGCAGTCAGACCATGCGTGCTCTTTCCTGCCTGTTTCACGAATCCACTGGCCCCGGAGACTGGTGATCTTGTGTTGTGACGCATCGCGATCGCGGCTAGCTCCGAGGAGTCGGCGAGGACTCCGCACCATTCACGTACTCACTCTTTCTGCGCTTCAGTTTTCCAGTCAGGTTGTCGCCTGAAAGTCGACCTCAAGGGCGGTTGTTTATATCGATCAACTTCTTGATGATCTCTTCTATGCTCTTGATTCGTCGGCCGCCACATCGTGAACGACTGCGAGAGAGATGAGCACAAACTGGACGGAGCGATGCAGGTGCTTTCTGCACGAGTTTCTGGATTACGCGTTTGCTGAACTTGATTCTTCCAAGGAAACACCAACTGCAGCGATTTCAATCCGCCAGGAAGCACTCGAGAACGATCGCCCAGGAGTTTCTGGTACTCCGTGACAATTCTCCATCGCAGTGGGGTGTTGATTCCAGCACCAGGCCTTCTCTGTGTTGTGCGAGAAGCAACAGGAGTCCTCTGACGATAAAATTTGCACGCAAAATGCTCGAGTCGACTAGGATCCTGATCCGCTGCCTCCTTTGGGGTTGGAGCCATTCCTTCTTCAACATCACAAATCGACAACTGAAGGATAGTGTTAGGTAGCTGGACAGTTTGTTCCGTGCTGAGATTATTTGAATTAGTTTGGCTGACGTTCGAAGGGAAACGCACATTTTAATAAGTCGGACCAAGTACATAGAAGTTTTGACTAGTTAGAGGGAAAGACACAAACGGGAAAACATAGAACGTTCAAAGACAACTACAAGGATCTGTCGGGAAGCCTAAAAAGCTGCCCAATCCTTTCAGGCAGGGTTGGAACTCTTGTAGAAGGCAACTTTCCTGCATTTATCGTACTTTTACTAGGTACAGTCGTCCCTCTCTAATCCGGCACCTTTTGCAACCACATTTTCTGCTGGATAAACAAGGGTGCTGGATTATCAAATCCTGCCCTCCAACCCGACCCACATGTTAACATACATGTTTGTGAAGTACGTCAAAACGTAGGGATTTTCTGGGTCAAACCAAGTATTTTGTGGAATGCATGTCTTTAACATACACTTGCCGGGAATGTTCATACACCAGTCAGCTGGTCACCGTGCCTGCAGGGTACAACTTACTAGCCTGTTTGACCTTTTTTGGGTGCAGTCCTGTCACTCGAGATGGACTCGAGTTGAACCTTGGTGTGAAAGTTGTCGCCTGCTGGCGTGGTGACCAGGTGATTTGGGCACCCAGGAGCACGTGACCACTTGTTCAACCATGTTCGATTGGGAATAAAGGAGGAACGCTGCATCGCAGCCTTTTCGGACCAAAACCAGTCGACTCAGCGTCCAAAAGACTACAACATATGGGCCAATCGCGGTCATCCGTTCTTTTATAAGAACGAAACGGCGCTTTTCGTGACATTTTGCATACAAATCCCCATCTCGTAGGGCGCAGTCACCCAGTTTCGGTGGAAGTGCGCGAGTTCGATTGGGATTCAAGTAGGAAGGGAGCGTCTCAGCTTTCTCGGACCAAGACCATTCGACTCAGCACCCCGAAGACTACAACTGGTGAAATTTTAATTTTTGCCTTAACTTCCCCTTTAAAGCGTAGAACATTAACTGAAAAATCCGTTTTGCCAGAAAGTGTGCTGGTTTGCAAGGGTGCTGGATAAACAAGTGCCGGATCAGAGAGACACGACTGTAGTCGTACACATGTTCAAACTTTGTACGACTGCCGGCTGCTTTCACACATCCCAGGCCCCGTAGGGTCAAAGGTTGCCTGTATGTTGCTTTGATTGAAATGATTGTGTAGCCTGAATGCAGGCTTGGAAAAATGTTGCCTTTTAGGTGATTTTGTACTGGATGTTCTATGTACGTAGTCTGCAGAGGGCCTAGCTAGGGCCTCGTTTACATGACCACGATTGAAAAACGTTTTTGTCAAAAATGTTTTCAAAAGAATACGCATCCACAGATGTTAATAAGAGCATTTACACGACAACGCTGAATAACGTTTCAAAAACGTTTCAAGCGAAAAAAAGGCCTTCAAAGTGTTTTTCAATCGTTTTCGTTCCGTTTCGTTCTCGTGTAAACGGCAAAAACGTTTTACTACTACGAGCCTTTTACTCAAAACATGCCGCCGCCCAGCCTGTGCCAGGCTAACTTATTGCACGTGACAATTAAGGGCCGCAACACGCGTTGCAGTGTACACGCTTAATCGTTTTCGTGTAAACAACAAAAACGTTTCGAAAACGATTGAAAAACGTTTTTCAATCGTTGTCGTGTAAATGAGGCCTAATATTGTGTGAGTGCCACGAGGGCTGCTTCCTACGTGCCTATGTAGTTTCACAGGAATCATGAGCTTTGAAGCCTGATGCTACAGTCTTCGTTCAAAACCGACCTAGAGTGCTTATTTGGAGCTCCTAATTCGCAAAGCCCTTGTTACCTTGGAAGTGGCACTAATGCGTCAGGACCTACAAGTACGCAAATCCAAACCAGGCAAGAAACATCAGAAGTCACTTACAAATATAGGAGTTTATCATTCAATTTGATTGGAAAAGCAGACGGATCTATCGCTATTAATTTCATTCTATACAGACGTCTAACAACAGGAAAAGCATAGAGTGGAGCAGCGTTTGGTTGGTGGTAATATTTGAATTCGCAAACCTAACGGACTGAACATGTCCAATGACAAGGAAGCGAATGAAGTCCAAGTAACCCAGGAATGGGGACACAGATGAAAAGAAAATATAGGAACAGAATTTGTTTGGAAACATTACCATATTTCCCCGTAAGTTAGTTCTCCCCACTGATTTAGTACCCCCCCCCCTATAAAAAATACACTTTCCACTGCCGAGGTTATCACCCCGAAAGACAGCTCCCCCCCCCCCCCCCCCCCGAAAGATTGTAAGTTCGTACCCGTCCTACATGTACAGACACCGTACAACACATACATCACATGCACAGACACTAGAGTTGCGCAGGCTTCCCACTGCGTGTCATTTACCCTGATAAAAAAGTACTCCCCGAAAGATAGTACTACCCCCAAAAGTTGGTACTCATGTGGCTGCTAAGTTCGAAAGTTACAGTCCATTTCAAAAAGATTTACAATCAGGTTTGGGTCTAAAAAATTATGAAGATAAGGGAAATTTGGACAACAAAGTACATAGAATGGCTTGTTTGGACATGGCAAATTGTTCTGTGAAGGTTTCGGAACAATTGGACTATCCGTTAAGGAGTTAGAATTTCGGCCTGGTTTCCGGCCTTTTCCCATGGTTTACAAATTGCCCTGGAAGCCAGTTTTTATCAAAACCCACGATTTATCCTTTCCTTTATGGCCTTGTGGTTATGAATGCTGTCTGCTGGCCATGAAGTTTTGAGTTCAAATCCCAAACTAAGTCAAACTTTTGTTTGCATTGTTGTGGACTTTTGGTGATCAAGCTGGTACAAGACAAAGAAGATGGCTGCACCAAACGACTTGTTGTTGGAGCTCGCGCTTCCTGCCAAACTGACTGACACTTGACTCGCTCACGCCATGTGAACACACCCACAACACTGAAATGGTGTGAGTGAATATGGAAGTCATCGCGCTGTAGCTTTTTGAGATTTATTTTAGTATTTCAATATCGTTCGCAGGCCTTCATGGCGCTCGGACAACTGCAATACTAGTACACAGACTCTCACTAGCTACATAGTAATCTGTATCTGGCACGTTATTTCTGCATTGAATAGTGATTGATATTCCACGCCGAATTTCCGACGCTGCATGCATGTCCAATGCGCGTCAACAGTACCTCACACTTTCCTTTTCCCGCGTCATCACCTCAGCTATGCCAGTTTTGTATGTGGAAACCCCCTATATAATAGCAGTTTGGTCTATATTTTTAATAATTCAACATCTACCTTCACTTATGAGCTATGTATTAGCGAAACAGCTGTCTGAAGGAGTTTATCAATATCGTATACGGAAGTGTCCTCGCAATGGTGATGGTTGTGTGCAGGAGGGTCTAGTCGGCTAAAGAGCGCAGTGTGGTGGTGGAGGTGACTCAACATTTCAAGATCACCAATTTATTTGAATTTATCAGTCAACGCCGTCTTCTATCAGCGTTCACAAGCGTCTGCTTTTCTCAAAATGTCGTCGACGTCAGACGAATAGCTTTCCCAAGTCATGGCCTTGGGAATGAGTCCGTGTCGATGTCGTTTTCGTCACACGGTGAGTAAATTGCATCGCACCTCAAAGAAACTATTTCGGTCACAAAACGAATTGGGACCCACGCCGCTCGTCAACATTTACAACACTTTCGTTTCGACATGTCCTCTCTGACTCCATTATCGATACGAGGAAGAACTCGTTTGTTGTGAACCAGGCATACATGACTGTATGAACGTGAGTGAGTTGTCATTTTTCCTGCTTTCGCGCGGAATATTTCTTCGAGGTCATGGTGAGTTTTTCCAGGCAGCGCTCGAGTGCTCATACGGTAAGACGCCAAACTCCGCGGGGGATCGCCAGGATCGCAAATCTTTTTAAAACGGACTGTAGTACGTACTAACTTACGGGGAAATACGGTAGTGGAAAAGATTTTTTTTATTTCCATAGCTATACTTCAGTAATGTGTGGCGCTAGCCTAGCCAGGGTCCACACAGCTTCAATTCCGTGATTGTGTGCGTGTTTTTGCCGTGGGCATGCCTGGCGCTATCCCATACCTGTCCCGTACCGTACCATCAAAGACAGCTAGCCACAGCATCCAAATAGGGCTCTCAAGCGCAAGATCATTACGTGAAGAAACTTGGAAGAATGAGTATGTATGCGAAGTGTATCTGGGGAATGCATGCAGGGCGATAGTAGAGGTTCGAATCCTAGGTTATGTCTGAAATAATTTGAGAAATTAAAAATTTATAACATCCCTATGCCTTTTTTGCCCAGGTCATCAAAGTGGTAGACGGTGTCGTATTACCCTCGAATGCAAAGAGAAAGTTTATGTCTTTCGCTCAGGGCCCTACGCTATGCTTTGTTGCCTAGCTCACCATGCATGGTATTCGAACAGATGGAAACATTTTGCAATACAATGATGTAGCCGATCAGTTCTTTGTGGTACGGTTGGGCATTGTCGCCGTCATGGTCGATGTAAAACACTATTTACATAATACAAGCACAGGGAGCAAAAGTCTCTCTGCCCCATAAGCTGCCACATACCAACTAAATACAAACTTGCACGTGGGAAAAGCTTTTATGGGAAGAGCGACTCTACTGTACTCTACCTGATGGGCAGACAGCAAAGGGTGCGTGTCGGCTCTGCCCTGTCTGCCAAAGGGCATGTACGGTCTGGAGTTCCTCAGGGATCAATCCTGGGGCCTCTCCTCTTTCTTATGTATGTAAACGATCTGGCAGAAATGGAACACACATCACTATATGCTGATGATACAGCACTACTTGTGACAGCACCCACTCTCCCCGAAGCTAGTGCCAAGTTACAGTCCAACATAGATGGCGCTATTCATTGGATAGAAAAATGGAAATTGCAGCCCAACTCTTCGAAAACTGGTGTAATGTGTATCCCCCAGTTGTTCCTGTGACCTATCTTCATTAGTAACCAGTCCCTTCACCTTTCCAGGCACCACAACCCCGCTCTGCATCGTTGAAAAACACAAGCATCTTGGCGTCATTATTGACCAACACTTAACCTGGAAATCCCAGATCGAAAATTTAGACAGCCGTGTTAGCTCAGTAATGGGATTTCTCTCATCACACATCACCCACCTCCACACCGACAGTCGCCATGTTATCTACACATCCTACATTCTGCCTATTTTTGATTACTGCTGCATAATTTGGGCTGGCATTTCTAAAACACTGATTGCTCGACTCGACGTTATGCATAGGCGTCTTTTGAAAATATTATTTCGGCTTCCTCGCCTGACTCCAAGCGCAGACTTATACCGCCTTGCTTCTGCTGTGCCGCTCTCGGTCCGCGTGCGTTTTTTGGCATGCCAGACAATTCATAAAATTAAGCTGGGCATTGCTCCTCCTCATGCTCTCTCCTGCCTAAGCTGGTTTGCTCAATCTCAAGACATGCGCACCAGAAACTCTCTCCGCTTCCCTATTGCGCGGTCTGCCTCTATGCAAACATCTCCTCTCTTCCTTGCTTACCGCCATTTCATGCTCTCTCCTGCCTAAGCTGGTTTGCTCAATCTCAAGACATGCGCACCAGAAACTCTCTCCGCTTCCCTATTGCGCGGTCTGCCTCTATGCAAACATCTCCTCTCTTCCTTGCTTACCGCCAATTGGTCTCTCCTCCCACAACATCTAAAATCCTGCCAATGTTACAATACATTCACACAGCTACTGCAGAATGCAACATACTAGTTGACATCCAGCCCTGCCCTAGCTTCTCCTGCTTTTCAGTTTCTCTTTCATTCTTTTTCTTTCTCCCCTCTAGCTCTATTACCGCCATGGCTGGCTATCGCCCACATCACCATTTCATTGGCTAGTGCCACGTGATTGTGAATAAATAAATAAATAAATAAATAAATACCAGGTAACTAAAAATGAACGCAGCCTAAGTACCCTGTCGGCATGGTGACGAGATGACTGTTGTATGCATGAACATGTGACGCTTATTCAACCATGTTCGATTGGGAATATAGCTGTGTTCACAACTGCGCTTGGACGCGGTACGCTTGCTGTTCATGCATGCCCAAATGTGCGTTCTGGCTTTCACAAAAACAGGGATTTCAGTCGTACTTAGGGTGTGCGACTCCTTCGAGTACTAATTTATTGACCACGCCAGTCACCGTGACTGGCACGTATGCCGATGCGCGCCTGATACGCACTGAAAAATACGAATGGTTGGAATTTCCAACTTCGCGCGTTTCCATACGCATGACGCCCCAAAAGCCAGCAAAAATACGCACAGACGCGTGGCTTCACGCGCCATTTGTCAACACAGCTTAAGGGCCGGACGCTACATCGCAGCATTCTCTGACGAAAACCAGTCGATTCAACGGTCTTCCGTGCTTTTACTGTCTCCACAGAATAACAGAGTGACTGTTCTAATTCTATTCTAATTCAAGAACGGCTCTTCCGATCAGCCGGGGACCTTCACTATTGGATTCAGTGCATTTTTTCGCTGATCTTAAACTCTTCCAACTAAATACAAAACCCACGCCACGAACCTACGTGCGGGACAGTCAACTCACGTTAAACGCGTCAAATTTTACCTGAGTTTTTTGAATTTTTGACGTAAAAGTTCACGGACGTAAGAATTTGACTTGAAACTTAACCTCTCTTTTAAACTTTTTTTGTGCATTCACATAATTAACACGGGTTTTATGCAAAATATCTCGAAATCGCAGATGAAAGTCAATAACGCGGAAAATTGTGCGTCCACGGAATCGCGGTACAGCTGTATCCTGTTTGAGCAGCCTACCGACCAAATTATTTCATTTTTTAGTTCTGGTCAATGCGCTGCATGTACTGCGATTTACGCCTATGAGGCTTCTAATCAACGTGGCTAAAGATCTTGGAGCGGAGTGCGCAGATTGACTTATCTCTTTGTCTGTCACCAGTTAATC